ATTGAAAGCCCTCCGTTAGTTGTGTTGAGTGGAAAGGCCAAACATCCTTGTTCGTTAAAGCAGTTTGAGTGGCGATTATTTGAAATGTCGAAAGTCTCCCTCACGACGCAGTGAGCTAATAAATATCTCAAACGCCTCTTCAAAGTGTTTTTCATGAAGGGCAATTTTCAGTAGTTTTAAATCATATAGGAATAATCCCTTTATTGGAGAAAAAATACTGCTGGAAGTTGTTTTTTAATGGTACAAAGCGAGTAGAAGTTTAAATTAATAACAGTTTCTCTTGTGAGTTAAAGTTACAAACGGGTTTACTTTTTGTTGCTTTAGCTGTCTGTCTTCATAGGAAGTGGCTAAACAAGTAACAAGGGATCCTCCCTCTGAAGCATACCCTGCTTTACCATCTATATTTTACTCTAAATGTCACCAAAATGCAAACGAATATTGTGCTGTATTGAAGAAGACTTGAAACAAGCAACAGGTCGTCAATCTCCAGCCGTCACATAACAGAGACCGGCCTGCTTGATTTGTCCAACTTGCTTTGTGCAAAGATCGGTTGATTAACTCTTCCAGCAGCACGTAGGCAGCCGGCAGTAACAAAGACACACATGCATTTGCCTAATTGCTTCTCTAACGGCGCGCAGGGGCGTCGCGCGGAACTCGCCGCCTTTATCTAGTTAGGAGGTTCGTGTTGTTCTCCTTTCACTGTCGCATGCCTTCATTTACACAGCGATCAATGGGTGACCTTTTAGGTGGACAAGGTCGTCCACTAAATGTCAAATCAGTGGTTTGGTGTTGAAGTGTCCCTGAATCAGGCTCCGACCTCCAAACAGCGACAAAGAGTGTGTGCGTAATCAAAAGCACCCAGGTTGAAAAGTGGTGTGAAAGGGAATTTACCATATTGTGTGTGTGTGTGTGTGTGTGTGTCGAATGGTGATCTGTTGAGTTAAGATGTTAGTTAAAATGGAGGTTTTGTTGGCAACTCTCAAACAATTTATTTGGCGAATACTCGGTTTTCCAAAACAATGCAAATAATAACTTTCTGTGATGTTCGATACAAAGTTATAAAAGATTCTCTTGTTCTCCGCTTTGAGGATCTGCTACTAACAAACAAAATAAGACACTTGAGGACATTGCCTCGGGTTCGGGTAAAAATACAATCAATTTTCCCGCAAAATGTATTGAAATAATCACATTAATTTAGTGAAAGGTTAAGCAAATCCAAAATGAACATGTATTCTTTTAAATATCCAGCAGGGGGCAGAAATAACTCAGGTAGATACTTATTACCGCAGTAAATATTGTTATGGTCTCCATCGTTGGTCTTCGTCAGGGTTAAATAATGTGCAAATATAAAAGTTCATCATCCCGATTGTAAAATGTCTTCTACCTGATCGGCCTGAAAAGCTGATGAGAACGAATCAAAACAATAACGCTGAGGCTTGAATATTGAGCCTAAAGGTGCCAGAATGTTCTGTAGAGCTGCGGGGATGAAGACATTGGATCAGTTTTCACTACAGTACATCTGATCAGTGAAGCTTTAACTGAAGCCATTTCAAGTGATTTGGGTTTTAACTTGATTGATTTTCTTTCCTTCACTTTCGCATAGAAGGTCTCTAACAGCACACCACGGCTTCCAGACAAAAAGCAAACTCACAGTGTGTCCGTGCATTTGTAAAACGCCTCCATTCTGAGCGTGGAAAGAAGATTTTGACTCAGATTTCCACCCAGCGCTTTGGAAGTCGAGCCTCGTCCAGGTGTTTGCTTTCTAATCTTTAGGCCGCGGGTCTTTTTTTGGTGCCTACAATCCAACCTCAATTCCAGCGAGGACCCACTAAGAGCCACTTCTGCTCCAGGTCCGTTCCTCCATTCCAGCTGACGCGCCGCCTTCATCAAACCGAAACCTGAGCGCCGGCCTTTCAATTGGACGCTGCGACAGCTCCAAGTGGGAAAGGGTGACGCCAAGAACACCGAGGGAAAGGTTGTAACGGTTCTAAAGCAATTACCCAATCCCTTCACACATTCACCCTAAAGTGACACTGAAGAAAATGGTTGTACTGGTTGTTCCTCGTCACGTGACTAATGTCGTACATACCCTGAAAAACAGGCCCGAGGGATCAAACACACTCGCGCGTTTTAAGTCCCAGCAATGACAGAAAATGATACGGAATCACCGCAGAGGCATAAAAGCGACGGCTGGAGGTAGATAACTGACGCTGGGTGACAGAAGCAGGGAGAGAGAGAGAGAGGAATGGAGCATGAGGGCTGGATTTAAAGTGTCAAATTTGCCTCAGAACAGAGTGAAATGTAGCGCAAGTGGCGGCCATGATGAGAGCTGTTTAAAAGGAGCTTTACTGCTTCCTTACTTTAGCTCCTTCAGCGTAGGAACCACTGGAGCATCTTTTACCAAAGGAAAGGAGACATAATGACCACGGCCGAGGAACGCCGATCGTGTCACCGTTAGCACGACTCATTGATATTAAATCCTTGTTAGTGAAGTAATAACTTTGAACCTGGTTGTTTGTGTCGTCTGATCGACGACTCTAAGCTCAAAATTCAGAATATAGAAGCTGAAGCGGCCTTTTCCCCCTTCAGGCGCTCTGCGTATGCTCTCCTCCGTTCATTCTCTCTTCCCGTCTGTCGGTGTTCCCTCCTTCCCACTCTGTCTTCTGTCTTCTGTTGACGGATTGAAAAGTTCAGGTCGTCAGTCTTCAGAATGCCGCGTCGTTTCTAAGCTACCTCGTTACAGAGTGAAAAACAAAATCAATCGCCGCCAGATCGGACTTAAGTGACACGAGAATAAACGGAGAGCTCTCCGTCCTGGTGCGATCGCGTCGCCGCTGGCAAAGCGTGCGTCACGAAAGCGGCGGCCTCACTGGGATATCCGCTGCTTTTCGTTTCTTCAGGCTTCTTCATGTTTCCTACGAGCTGGTGTTCCTAAACGGGCCATCTGACGTTGACACGTGTCAACGCTGGCCCCCGTCCACAGGAGCCCACCCACGCTGCGACACTTGACCTCGACTTAGAAGACGACTGTAACCGACTGGGAGCTGCTTTGTTGTTGAGTAATCGCTGGGAAGCAGTTGTTGAGCGGCTCCACTTTACCTGTGATTGCACCCGTGTCATTGTGCTTTCGGTACATAACTACCGCTCTGACATAATTGATGTTTTTTTGTTTTATAAAAACAGGCCCGAATTAGACAAAGGGAGAAGAATATGTGTAGTCAAACTTGCCATAAGATCTAATCTAAAAACACATTGCGTAGAATAATATCGCATTATTCATGAAACCCAGACAAACAAACGGTCTGCATTTGGACGTGTTGTTGCTGTCGCCTGGTATTCTTCCTGCTGGCGTGAATCCTCGCCGCTGTATTTTTTCCACACAGCTTTTTTCCCTGCAGCTGCAGATAAACGCAACAACCAACACCAAGAGGTGTTAAATCTGGATGTTCGGAGGACACAGGGATTATAATCCTCAAACTGCTTTAGTTCTGCTGTAAACATTTCGCCTTTCTTTGATATTACTTCAAATGGCTTCCGGCAGAGCGTGTGAGGCCCGGCGGAGTGTCTGTGGCGCACTCAAAGAGAAGCGCGTCATTCTCATGACGGCGCCCGTTCTGGACACGAACAGAACGTCGCACAGCAGAACCTCGTTCGGTGTTGTGCTGCATCCGGTTATTAGCAACCACATGCTAAGTGGAAGGAACCAGGATGTTTTATTACCAAGGCGAGTGGATCCGCTGTGCAAAGTCAGAGGACGGCTGCGCTCATCTGTCTTTAGAACGTGGAGTCCAGGTCTCACAGAAGATGCTGCAGAAAGTCTAACTCTAACCCAGGCCTCTCAGTTCCGGTCCACCTGTGTGGACGTGTGGTGTATATATGATGCGTATACCATGGTGTATGGATCCATAGATCTCTGGGGTGAAAGCTTTTGGGACCCTAATCATGCATCAGCCCTCCATGGACTTTAAGTCCTTCAGCACCGAAGCTCTTAGTTTTATTTTTGCTTTCAAGTGTGAAAGTACCTTCAGACTCAAGACAGACTGGGAATAGCAATTGATAACAAAAATAAAAAAAGACGAGTGTCCCAGGGGACCGCATGCTGGATTCCGCTGGGATTTACTCCCCGTCTCGTCCTGACCCTTCGGATGCGGTCCTCATACTGAAGGAGTTTTAGAACCTGGAGTTCTTGTCAGTCAAAGCGGCTCTCCGTCGCGCTGAGAGAACAGATGCACTCTCTGCCAATCACTGTTTTTTGCAAGTCCCTGCCTGAAGGCATATTAATAATTGACTGGGTGGACGTGATGCTGTCCCACATCTGAGAGGACTCCTGCCTTTGTGCTGAGTCGACGTGAGTACTCCTCCTTCCCGCTACGATGCTGAAACGACAGCAAACTCGTAGCATCTGTTGCTTTGGCTGGAAGCGGCAGTTTGCGCTTACGAGAACGGGACGCTGGCTCGGTAGTGTGTGCATAATATATGTATGTTTATATATAGATATGTAAATATGTTAATAGTTGGCTTGATTACCAGTGCTTTCAGTGGAGAACTTTAAATCATAAAAAATGTTGATCGCTTGAATTAACATTAATTCCATTTCTTTGTTTATTTGTTGTTTTACGTCAGTAAAAATAAAAGCGTCATCCCTTCTAGGCTATTTGGTTATTGGGTGCTGGCAACACAATAACAAATACTGTATCATCAGTGATGATGAAATATACTTTCCCAGCTCATTTGTTCCCAATTCTTCTCTGTTTAGGTGATGTTTTGCGTGCGAATGTTTTTCACTAACTTATGTAAAGGAGCTTATTGATTGAGATGAGACCTTCTGCTATTTGTGGTCTGCACCCTTTGTGTGTGTGGAGGTTTGTTAGTCACCTGAATGGGAGGCGACAGAAGCAGAGTGCGTCTCCTTTGGCAAATGAGTACAAAAAGAAGAATCGGTGTATATCGTTGCTAGGAGACCCTGACATCAGCCGCTTATCCCACCATCACGCTCACTGTGAGTGTGTGCGTGTGTGTGTGCGTCTTTGCGTGCACCTCCTCTCCCCACTGCGTCTGGGTGCCTTTGCTCTCGCTCGTCCTATAAAGCCGTCAGCATCTCGTCGGCTGCCTTCTCTGCCCGAGTAGAGTGAAGGCTGCGTTACCGTCGGAGAGGAGGAATCCGCGCTGCAGCTCACTGGAAAGGCAAAGGCAAACTGCAGGAAGCCGTGGGTACAGCGGATTGTGTGTCTTTGGGTGTTGGACTGAGCGCGCTCGTAGAGGACGTCCGTCTGCCTCTCGGCATGCACGCTGCACCTCACGGTGTGATTTAGAGCTGCCAGGAGGGGGAAAGGTGGTTTTCATCTAGCTGATACCCAGGAAAAGAAGCACTTTTCTCTTCTGTCAACCGCCTTCTTTTCCTTTTGCGCCTTCGGGCTTTACACTTTCTGCTCTGGGCAATGAAATGAACAACTATTCACGACTTGAGGGGTCTCCGTCCCATCATGTCTGCGCCTCTTTTGACTCCTCCACACTTCAACGACACAGACATTTCCCTGTGAGGCGACTTTCCTTCATTCCTCCGTTTCCTTTCTGCAGAAATTCTGTTTCTCCTCCGACACACACACGCTGAACATCATCAGTTCCTCGAGGCTCGCACAACTCCCTCGCCTGATCTTCACTCCCCCTTATTTACCTCACCGTTATTGTCTCCCTCCCCTGAGCCCGAGGGCGCCCAGGACTCCGCGGTCGACCAAGCACACATTCTCTCTCCTAATTGCCATCACTCCTCCAGCGGCTGTTTCTTCAACCACCCTCACAACAACAGTTCCCGTCCTGTCACAATGTTCTCCTCCTCCGCCGAGGAGCTCTGGAACACCAGCGAGCCGGTGAGGATCAACGGCTCCGAGGCAAACTTCTCTCTGCCCAGGCACAGGGAGGATGAGGAGGAGGGAGCCGATCGGCACCCCTTCCTCACGGACGCCTGGCTGGTGCCCCTCTTCTTCTCCCTCATCATGCTGGTCGGACTGGTGGGGAACTCTCTGGTCATATACGTCATTTCCAAACACAGGCAGATGAGGACGGCGACCAACTTCTACATAGGTGAGGAGGGGAAAAGACTGAATGCAAACACAGCATGCTTACTCAGTGACGACCAGGGCATGAACTTCACATAGATGCTTAAAATATTTCATGCAGGTGTCTTTCATCGATGGAGAAAAGGCTCCTTTTTAATCCCAACGGTGGGTTCAAAAGAACTACAAGGGCACACAAGGGAGCTGCATTTTCATTTCAGTCACACAACGTTTGCCCGATTACTGCGCAGCTGTGTGTCAAAGCGTCCGTGCCAGTTACCTGCTTCTGAAAAGCAACGTGTTCCCTTGTTACGTTCTGAATTTATAAATCTAAACACGCAGAATAATAATCCTCTGAGGGTGTTTTTGCTTCATTCAGTTCCCAAAATGTTCCCATCCAAAAATGATATACCTGAATATTTCAGGGCTTAGGTTTGTTTCTCTTGTTTGTGCTTATCTGCAGTTTGGCTATTTTGTGGATGATAATAATAAATGATTAATGAAGAAATAATGTGTAATTATTTAGCTTTGCATTCATTGACATGAGGATTTTTGTGTGTAACAATATGTTTGTGAAACTACCATTCAACAAAAAATGAAAATATACATAAAAACAGGTGGCTAGATAGATGTTCTCATTAATCTGAGGTATATCAAGTAAAAAAAGAGAAATCAATGGTCTGCATCCGTTATGCAGTGGCCCCGTGTTGTTTTCAGTGCACTGATTTAGGGGAATTTTGACTTGGTAAGATTTGCAAAGATAATTAATTGATGTAAAGCTGGAGATTAGAATTTAAATAATGAAACATACCAAATAATAAACGGCATGTCACATAGATGCATATACAAAAAAACAGCTTGTTTGCTTGTGCGATTCTGCGATTTACCGTTTCTGTTTCCATTTCTGTCTCTGTTGGCATATTGCACCGTGCATGTGTCATGAATTTAATCTTAGATAATGTTCCATAGCCAATAAAATTGAATCAGTTTAATATTCAGCAGCATTAGATTCGCGCCTGCACCATCTGCGCACCCTTTCAACGTAATGGTCCAGCAGCTATAACGGGATTAAATCAACGAGTAAAGCAAATAAGGAAAAGCGTAGGGCGTATTTGTCAAAATGACAGACCAAACGTAAAAAAACAGGGCAAGCAAGATCAGACCGCAACCTCTGCTTGGTGCTCTATAAAACCTATTCTATTTTCGGGGATTTAAATTAGCAGTCTGCAGGTTTCTGCACGTTTGTGTGTGAATGTGTGCTGCAATCAGTTGTCAGTCAATCAATACTTTCCCTCCAGCACTTCAGGTGAACATGTGCTGAACTCTTTGTACCTGACGTCAAATGCAACAGATTCATCTTACATAACACAAAGCTTCAGATATCAAACATAGACAATTCCTGGTGAGACACAAGCAATAATTAAATCATCAGAACGTGATATTATTTTGTGCATGTAACTGAAGAGGACTGTATTAGCAAATGTTGCTCGTCGTTATGTATGTTGAATGTAGTTCAGTAAAGTTTTATCCCTGTAAAGTTTACATGATTATCGATTATCACACTTGTTTAAACCAATTTAAAAGGGTTTCAAGTGACAATCAGTAAAAATCTGAGGTGAGTCACATTTTAGAATTCCTAACAAAAACTACAACCCGAACAAACGAGGTGGTTCGTTACCCCCCTTTGTATGGTCCTTAAATGTCTATGTGATGTTTCCGCACACCAGACATCCGCCGTGTCCTTTTGTCTTTGTGCAGCGAACCTGGCCGCCACTGACATCATCTTCCTGGTGTGCTGCGTCCCCTTCACCGCCACGCTCTATCCCCTCCCTGGATGGATCTTTGGCAACTTCATGTGCAAATTTGTTGCCTTTCTTCAGCAGGTAAAAGCACGATTGATTCTTTTTGGTGACATTACAATCATAATCAACCTTTCCCCTTTCCTTTGCATTGGTTTGTTTCTTGGTCACCTGCAAACTCTGTTAATTAGCTGTAAACACAACATCGACATGTTATACACTTATAAAGGTTTGTTGTGAACAGGCCATTCGTTTCAAACTGTTTCTTATTCATACAATAAGCAAGCACTTATTTGGACGTGTGTCTGTCACAAAGGCGACACGTGTTCACACTGTCACACTTCAGATTTAGTTTTTGTCTTCATCTCAAACCTGGAATTGAATCACCCAATCGACTCAGCACAATGCGTAGCTCCCAGCTTTATGTTTTGGTAAAGATATTATAAATGAGATGTCAATTAAAGATTGCAACTTGCTGACTCCATGCAGATTATAAAAAAAAAAACATGTTTCATAACTACACTGTAATTACACTTCAATAACAATAAGTGAGAACTATGGCGGACTGAAAATACGCTTTGTTTCCACCTTGACGAGTCATTCAGCTGGCAAGGCCACGCTGTCATCAGCGCTGCTCGTGTTGACTTAATAGTCAACATGAGGAAAGTTTGAATCTACAGCGACGCTGTGCCGTGGTGAAAAAATGGCATGAATTCACTTTGTTCTGACTACCTCATTATGAATGTAGAAGGGAGGAGGAGATAATCTGTGTAATAAAGACACTTTCTTTTGAATGCACGTTGACGAGATGTTAAAGACTAATTTGAGCATAAAAGAGGAAGATGTGAGCGAAGCAGCCAAAGAACACATGCAGGGAAAAAAAAAAGCTGAAAGCATTTGTAATTGAAAGGACGGGATTCAGCTTATTCATCTTCACGTGATGTCTATGACATTGTGAGCTTGTCTTTGGTAAAGTAATGACTCCCTTGGGAAATTATTTAACCCGAATCGTCGCCTTTTGGAAAAGCAATTTTCCATCCAACCGTCTTCTCCGTCTTTCATCAACCAACCTCTCATCTTAAAGCGCCTTAATCAGTGTCTATACTGGGAGAACCGCCAGCTTTCACTATTGCATATGCATGAGTCACATTCATTGGTCCAAGAAATAAATGTGGATAAAATGTGAACTTATGAATAAACAATTAAAGGGAAACATCAGATGAAATTAACTAAACAGGCTTTGTTGACATCCATCTCCATTCTCTGTTAGAGCAACAGGAACTGGCAGATTGGCTCTCTACTCTTACTACTTGATATAGTACAACTGATTGTACCGCATCAGGAAAAGAATATTGGAATGTTGCTAGAATATTTAGTTACATTTGGACAGCGTCCGTACTGATTGAATAGAGGAAAAATTATCTTAATCATATTAACAATGCCCCAAAAACTAAAATGATCAACCATTCCTTCACATCTAATGTAAACCACTAACCCACACGAATACCAGTGGCCAGAACACGCTACACCAAAAGGCCGTCATCCATCACAGCTTCAAAAGACATAAAGATCATCCAAATGTTTTCTCTCTGCGACGTCCAAGCCCATTACTCTGAATTGAAAACATGCACTGCAGATAACAGGGATGGATATTCTTACTCCAGGCGCATTTAACATTGAGGGATTTAGGCTCTCGCATCCTCCGTGCCCTCAACATTGAATCCGGTAATGACCCCTTTCTGACTCTCGCCTCATATCCTTTGAAACCCTGATGCTCTGGAGGGTGACGAGTTGTGTCATCACTGCCACGCGTAAGAGCGGGAAGAGAGGCACCCATTGCAAGAGAAGAAAAGATCATTTTTGTGAAGGGGATGAAAGAGCTTTTTCACCCTGCTCCTGGAAATGGACGTACAGACGTGTATGAAAATGGAGGCGGCATTAGAAGCCATTGTCGAGGGAGCTTTCCACCGTAGAACATAATATACTAAAACGAGGTGATGTTACATGACATTTTAGAGAGTTTGGATCCCGCGTTAGTCATATTTTTCAAGTACCTAAATTGCTGTTGCAACAGGAATACCGCATTACGCCTGAAATTAGCACCCGGAGGTGCCCGCCTCTAATTGAATCAGACTTCATTGAGCTCCATTAAAAATAGAAATGATTCGTTCATATGCTAATTAAAAAAAAAAAACTTATCGCAAACGCAGCTTGTGCTCTGCTTCCCGTCCGTTTGTTTTGCGCTTTCTCCGTCGCTCTTCACTTTAAAAGAGCTCATTAGCAAAACCACAGAGTTGCAATATCTCTTGTTGCTTCTTAATGAGGGATGATTGAATGCAAGGTTGGATGCACAAGTCTCCCTTAGAACGACGCTGGCCAACTTCTGTTCCCATTACGCCGTTCGATCTAATTAGAAGTTTGAGGGAAAAAAGTTTGCGAGAGTCTAATGGCTGCTGCACAAATTGCAGAGCATATCTTTTGAAAGCATATTATTTGTATTGCTTGAAATATTCACTGACATTACAAGTATCTGTGCTCACTACTTTTGCTGCATGGCTACTGTTCTTTTTATGTCTCAGTGGAAAAATCCACAGGAAGTGCTGCATTCATTTTGAGTAGAACAGGAGATTTGTGGACATCAAACAGAGAGGAGACAGAGGGGGGACAGGGAGGACAAGAAGGACTGAGGCCGACTTTGACAAAAGAAGAATAGCCCAAAAATGACTAATTCTTATCATCTCACTTCCTGAGAAGAGGGGGGATGATTTTTATCCACAGCGTTCAAGGTGAACAGTGAGTCGCTCGTAATTTTGATGGAGCAATCTTTATTTCTGATGGTTCTCTGTATTCTATGATGCCACAAAGTCAAAATGCACACATTGCTTTTCTAAAAAACAGCTGAACTTAGAAACGTTGGACACATCACCGTGTTCATATGCTTCTCTTAGTGTTAAAGGGAAACTTGCATTATGTTGCCTGTCAGTGTTTGTCTGGAACACATTTTCGGGAGAGCCAGGAATTCAGATTTAGGCAACAAAACATGAGGAAAATATTGACAATGTTTACCAAAGCCCCGTGAGGGCCTAAACATAACACTTGAATTCACTGTCTGGGCTGCAGGTTTGGAAGTCGGTGTGTAGAACAGAATATGTGTAAATCACGCGTGTGTGTGTGTGTGTTTTCCCTGTTTTTTCCAGGTGACCGTTCAAGCCACCTGCATCACTCTGACGGCTATGAGCGGCGACCGCTGCTACGTCACAGTCTACCCTCTGAAATCCCTCCGCCACCGCACCCCGAGGGTGGCCATGATAGTCAGCATCTGCATTTGGATTGGTACATCCTGCAATGGCCGCTGCTCTCTTACCATTGCCCTTTTTCCCCAGCTAGGACTTCAGACTAACAGGGACCTTGTGCTTGTCCAGGCTCCTTCATGCTGTCCAGCCCCATCTTGATCTACCAGCGCATAGAGGAGGGTTACTGGTACGGCCCGAGGCAGTACTGCATGGAGAGATTCCCCTCCAAGACCCACGAGAGGGCTTTCATCCTCTACCAGTTCATTGCCGCCTACCTGCTGCCCGTCCTCACCATCTCCTTCTGCTACACCCTGATGGTGAAGAGGGTGGGGCAGCCCACCGTGGAGCCCGTCGACAACAACTATCAGGTACGAACAAGGTTCATTTAGCTTTTGTGTCCTGCTTCATTGATGTTCCTTGATTTAGCTTCATGATGCGACTTGCTCTTGCTCCCAATGGTCAGCTAATTAGGTGTTTTTCTGTGGTGGTGCTACTTTTACCTTTTACACTAAGGGTTGGCTTACTTTAATATATAGTCTTTGAAAATGTCTTTTAAAGCAGCTTTATTGGATAAGATGACTGTGTGTAAAGTTCAAGTGTCCCTCGTAATAATAAACCAGTTACTAACTATTTCCTTCAGCTCTATTGTTCTAGTTTTACAACTTGTGTCCGGTTGAGGCATTTTTTGACTGCTTGTGCAATAATACACGCAGGTTGTACAAAAGAACACAAGCCGATGATTAAATCGGCCCACCGTCCTCTCCCCCTCAGGTCCACCTTCTGTCCGAGAGAACCATCAGTATCCGGAGCAAAGTCTCCAAGATGGTGGTGGTGATCGTCCTCCTTTTCGCCGTTTGCTGGGGTCCCATCCAGATCTTCGTCCTCTTCCAGTCTTTCCATCCTAACTACGAGGCGAACTACGCCACGTACAAGATAAAGACGTGGGCCAACTGCATGTCCTACGCCAACTCGTCCGTCAACCCTATAGTCTACGGCTTCATGGGAGCCACCTTCCAGAAGTCCTTCAGGAAGACCTTCCCCTTCCTGTTCAGGCACAAGGTCAGAGACGGCAGCACGGCTTCCAGGACCGCCAACGCCGAGATCAAGTTCGTTGCCGCGGTGGAAGGCAACAATAACAACGCCGCGAATTGAATCTGACCACCGCAAACAGAAAAAGGGTGCATTTTACGGGTTTCTGTCCAGAGCGGTGGGTCAATCGTGAGAGTGTCTTCAACGAGCAAACGGCTGATTGTAGCAGGAACATCCGCAGGTTCGATGTTGGGAAACAGATGCGTGACACAGATTGACGCTGACAGCGTTTGGAACGGTATTTCGGCGAAGGCAGTGTTGGCAGGTGACATCATCCGTCGCCGTGCCAAACGCTGCAGCCGAATAACAGAGGACAGCCGCACGAGTCCGATGACGAGAGAGGAAACCTTTGGCTGGAAGCTGCTGGCATGAGTCCTCTAATCCCTGTAAGATCCTGGCTGACGAGGTCTGCAGCTCTGGTATACACGATTCAGTATTTGGACAGCTGATGATATTATGTGATCTAAGCCACATGAGAAAATTTGTGTTTTGGAAAGGACAATGGACAATTATCACCGTACACAAGCCAAACAGACATGTTATGTTTCGTCAATTGGCTCCTATCCCTGGAGAAGAATGTAGGAACTCAAGAGGCTCTTTCTGCGTCGGACATTCTGGGAAGCGGCGAACGCTGTGACATTTCTTCAAGGAATTGTTTGATATAATTGGAAATGGAGCTTTGCCATTTCTAACCTGCTTTGTACAAAGAAAAAACATGAAGTAACGCATGCTTTTTTTTAAAAGCACGCTCATCAAGACACAGATTGAACAAAGCTCTCAATGGGTTTTTATTTTTTACCAGCTAATTGCCGCTATTTTCATCCTTCAAGGTAATACTATTTTTCTCACCCAGCGATCAACTGTACAGACAGTCCAGCGTTTATTGTATCTCCAGGCGCACGTTTAATTGATGTGATATTGTCAGCTCGTTGTCTTTTGTCTGAAACTAGAATATGACGATGATAAGCGGAGGACGACGTGCTGATGGAGGAGTTGCGACCGGTGAGGCGTGGGCAGTGTTTACCTTTCCTTCACGTCCCACGCGCAGACATTCGCAGATCCAGGTGTTGTTTGTGGGAATCCGTTGCCATGTGCACCGCTGTAGGATCCTGTCACACCGAGGTGGAGGGGGGGGCCCGGACGGGCTGCTCCCCGCCGGGAGACGGAGAAATGAAAGACGTCGTTATTAACACATTTACAGAAACAGCTCTACAGATGCTGCTATTTTCTTTTCGTCCCACACAGTGGTAAATCTGCTAATTCAATCCGCATTTGAATTTTTGTGGAACTGTGATTACTTGAATTTCACCGTAGGGCTTTTGTTAGGCATAATTAGATACAAATACTTAGTCGTATTTATTGAGAACAAATTGGACAAACCTTTATCTTTGGCCACATTAAGGTCGATAACCGACAAATCCTAATTTCTCTTAATTTTATGCGGCGCATTACAGCAACACCTATCAATTTCCCCTTGTTATACGCATGTACTGTCCACAGGAAACCGCTGAGAAATACGTTTAGCCAATAAAACTACTACATTGTGGTTTGGAATCAAGGTCGACGTCTCATTTCACACGAGGCACGTGTTCGATCTGTTTGATCTGCAAACTCAAAATGGAATAAATGCCATGGCATGAGGTGCCCTGCAAAGCCATTTACTCTGAGTGCTTCTGTAAAACATGTCTTAATATGTAATGCTAATGACTGAAGGTTGCGTATAAATGTGCGTTCGTTGTGTTCAATTTATTCCACAGAAAGTATTCTGCATCCATTAGGACCAAGGGCATCAATAATATGTGGTTTACTACGTCATGTTAAGTGTGTTCTTGTATCTGCGCTTGATCGCATATTGTGATTTGAATACAAATGCGTCCTGGTTGTTCAGAAATGACTCAAGCTTCAATCATCCTGCAGACTGCTGCATCCGTTCTAATCGTCTGAATTAGTGCTTTACATTTGTACTGGAAATCATCATTTTTTTGTTCCTGTCCGCCATTAAAAATAAAGCACAGACTGGTCTGCTTACTGGTTGGTTTTTATCCCAGTAATTATTAGCATTCTAATCAATTTTCTGCAATAGAGTTGAAAGCAGAAGCAGAAATGACTCCAAACGGCCATTTTCCACTTACGTTGATACATAGAACCAGAACAATGGACCATACTGAATAAAGTCCTCATCAGATTGTTACAAAATTGGACAAAAAGCATTCATTCTGCGTCATCAGCATTTGTGCACAATAAGACACAAAAAGTCCCATGGTACCTAATAAAAAAACATCGCCTTTTCGAAACAAAACAGGCAACAATGCAACAACAGCCATGACTCACCATTCCTGACGAGACAATCTGCCCACTCTGTGCACCAATGTACTTAATGGTGATGACTTTAATAATAAAAACTGGTCTTTGTTGTTCATTTAGAACGCACAAACATGTTCCCGGCTGAATCAAGGCTGCAGGAAACAGCAAGTAGTCAGAAAGTGGGAGGTTTGGTGATTTTGATTTTTTTTAATGTTATTCAATGAAAAGGTTTAAGGGCAGGAAGACAAAAACCAAAGGGTACTCATGTGTACTCATTGTACTTTGTGTACTGGCGCTTGTGCGCTCCTCTATGACACTATGACGCAACCATTATACATTTACCTTGTATATATTGTTTTCGTGACTACTGACTCTTTTCTGAACACATTTTAAATCGTCACTTTACCATTAACAGTTTGAAAGAGAAGAAGAAATGACAGAAAAAATCGATGTCCTGGTGAATACTTGTTTATTTGTATGCAGTATAAGCAAATACAACAGTATCCAAGTTAAAAGGTGACATTTGGCCACATCACATACCCATCATTCCAATAAGCATTGTCTGATATTAGACTGATAATATCTGATAATAGAGCCGCCAGACTCTATTACATTTAAAATAATATTCAAATGTAATAGATTGTGTTTTATTATTGATGCACGAAAAAATGTTCAAAAACTAAACAATGTGTGTGCAGAGGTTCTCTTTCTTTGTAGAATGATTGAGGAAAACGTAAAATGCGTTATTATGACACAGGGAATGTTCCTAAAACTTGTTTGACATTTTACAGAGGATTTCAATGGACGTCTTCTGTGTTTTGGTTGCAATGAAGAGGGAAATTCAACATCGAAAAAGTTTTTTTTAACCTTGTGAATGAAATCGGTTCACTTCCAAAAAATAGGTTCTTGGTTTGTAATGATTTTATCCAAGCGTGCGTTGTAGCTCATTATTTTAAAGTTTTCTCTCGGTGAGACCGAGTTCTTTTTTTATTTTCGTAGTGGAGCCGCTGGAACCACCTTCAGGGGAAGACGGCCTTTCAGACTTTTTCCAGCTGTGAGGCTCCTGCTTTCATCACCTCGACAGTTCGGCCCGGGTACCAAACAGAGCAGACGTTTTACGACGTAGAACCAAACGCAAGATACCAAGCAGGCAGCTGAACGAACAAAGAGTACAAATCCGTTTGCAGTAAATTCAACCGATCTAGGGAGGGACGGCCAGAGAATAGACAAAATGTTTATACATTCATAATATTCACTCTGCTCTTTTCTCTGCCTCAATCAACCGCTGTGGCAAATATCAGGCTCTCTAGCCGCTAAATGCACCACTTTGTTACTCTGCCTGATGCAGAGCAGATATGTAGTTTACGTTGGAGGCTTTAGAGCTTTTTGCCGGCTGGAGTCCAAAATGACAAACTGTCAAGGGGAGACTGAAACAAAAATCCTAAAAGTTGCAGGCCAGACAGCTGAACAATGAGCACTCCCCCTTTGTGCTGTTATTTCATCAGGGCCACTGCAAACAAATGGAACAAAGCCTTTGAAAAGAACAAAAAAAACAATAGAAATCAACACAGTGAGTGAAGCAGTTTTGTGAAGCAGAAATTTGCTCACCTGTCCACCGCTAAACCTTCTCCAAATTTTCGGTTGTATTTCGTCTAATAGAATGTTTAGTTCCTTCTTCGTCGGCCTTTCAACGTGACACAAACAGCTCCCGATGATTGACGATTGCCCCTGGTTGAACATGTGGCTCCCGCAGGAAATGAATCTTCAGGATAGAAAACGAAACAACAGCAATGATGGAAAGTGGTTTGGAGAGAAGCCGAGGGAGGTGCTGCTGTTTAGCATCTTGTTTAAAGGCCGCCACTTGACAGTGAACTCGAAGTGTGATGGAACGTAAAAATCTATTATAATGTCACTTTGACGAGGACATTTTCGTGCCTGGTGGTAAATAGAGTTATGTTTACGGCAAACGAGGGGCTCATTTTGTTAACCGGCATCCGTCACTCTCTGAGGGACACACAAGCAGTTAATGTTAAAAATCACATTGTGTCTGACTTTCATTATCTTTACAACCCAGTAGAATACTTTCACAAGAAGAAAGTCTTTCCCTCTGTGTTCTCGGTATGAAGTGCCTCCTAATTAACCCGGAAAACAATTTGATGTCTTTGTGCGTTGACCAATACTGATTTCATTATTGATCCAATTATCTTGAATTTATCCTTTTACTTTGTCATCTAAAATTGTTTTTTATTTAAATGTTTGTCTTGATTTGAAAACCAGAATAGAACAGGCCGCAATGGGAACACACTTTGCAAATACATCGTCAATGAAAACATCAGATGTTTGATCATATATTCAGATCATGTTTTTGATTCGATTTCATCACCAGCTTTAACTGGAGCTTCCTCTTCTTCGGCAAATGGATCAATAGCATTAAATTGGAGAGATAGCGGCGAACCACCGCCGGCAGCATTACACCTCATACCGATCCTGCCTTTGGTTTCCCGCGGTGTGAGAACAAATGAGTCCCCAAAATACAATCCGCTGCTTGCCTCTTGACACGGAGTGAAGTCTAAATCGATGGCAATCACTGAAATCCACCAGCGTCCTCAAGTCTCATCGAGCCAAACGTGTTCCTCACAAAGGGAGAACTACTGATTTCTGCCTCCCCCCATTGAGAGCGGCATTTAAAAGCAGGGGTCCAAACAGAACACGGGGGGGGGGAGCTGCTCAGCTCGGAGGCCCGTGAAAGGAACCGTGAAACCGAAGAAACGTCGATGGAAAAGAAACAAGAAATGAAAGGTACATAAACGTCTGTTCGTCATCTCCTGGGAGATCCTGTTCCTGTAGAGGGAGACAAAGAGCCGGAGTCACTGGAGGAAAGACGTCCGGTCACATGGACGAGAGGGCTTCATGCTCCGTGGTGTCCGCCGTGTTCCTCACACAAACAAGTAGTCTTTTCTCAAACACACCGCTGCTTCTTCTCCGGCCCCCAACAACCACATCAGATGCTCCGTGGTGGTGGTGGAGGTGGTTGGGTGGGGGCCGCCGGTGTGTTAATGGAGCAACCCGAACTGAACTGACAGATCTCTCTGCTGGTGGATCGCCGTGTGTGTTGTGTGGGCCGGAACCGGGGAGTCAAAGTTGTGCGTTGTGCTCCCTCGTCTCGTGCGGATGGAAATTGCCTCGCGGGCTTTGGCTCGATGGCCTTGCGATAAATGCGAAACAACCCAAAAAATGGAAAGGAAAGCCGCGCGTGTTCTGGGTGGCCTTGGCCGGCACCGAAACAGCAGATGAAGCTGGCGTAGGAGAAGCCACAGGCCCGAGCGGTTTAGAAGCCGCTTTCAGCCGGCGAGGCCGCTGAGCTGACGCGACACTCGAGAGTTGTGAAAATGAAAGCTGCAGCTGCTGAAACCAAAACGTTCTTTTGCTCTTTTTTTTCCCACTCGGCTTTCTTTCTTTCTTTCTTTCTTTCTTTTCCTTCTTTCTTTCTCAAAGCTGAAGCATGACGGCAGCGGCTCAGCACACCAAGCGGTCAGCTGAGGGGAAAATAAACGTCAGCGGTGGAAAGGCACAGACGGTCAGACACAAAGAGGCCTTTCTACCAGCAGGCAGAACTCGCTCACGTCGCAACACAAGCAGGAAACCGCGCCGCCGCCACCGGCTCGCCCCCGGGACCGAGTGTGTGTGTGTGTGTGTGTTTGTGTGAGTGCGATGGAGAGGTGGAAGAATGGAAAGGGGAGAAAAGGGGAAAAGAAAAAGGTCCGGGGACATTTAATGAAACCCAATCTCCCGCCTCTGGTCTAAAAATAAATGAAGCACAAAAACACAACGTGCATGAGGATGTGAGAGAGATACAAAGATACAGAAACCATGCAGACCGTCTGGTATCCGTTCCAGTGGGCTGGGAGCGAGCAATTAAATGGTGAACTCAACCTTTAGAGCTGCAAATATTTCCCCTCAGTGTTATTCTAAGAGTGTGTCTGTGCGCGAGTCTGATGATGATTAATTACGCAGCAAAAGGTACTAATGCACTAATGTTTTTCTCTGCAAGAGTTGTAATGCTCCTGGACAAAGGTGTCAGCCCCCTAGAATAAAATGAAAAATATGCATAGCATCACATTCACTGAATGAAGAGAAATGGTAATTGGTAAATCTTATTCCACATATTTTTCAAAGGGTGCAGAAAATGCCGTTGATTGTAAACTTCATTCAATGTTACTGTTACAAAACCTGTAACCATAAAGCAACGACCACAAGCTGTACAATTATTACTATTAAAATATGACAGTCAATCATACACAAAATCTAGTTTTAATATTAATATTAAACTAACAATCTCTGACAACTTTTTGTTTTACATTTTTATTGACGGCATTATTTGTTTTTCATTCTCCTTAAAAAATGAGATGAAATCCGCCCGCTGGCTGTGAACTTGTGCTTCCTACGACTTCTCCTGGATTATCAAAAGGAGGCACCTTGTTTCCTTTGGCTGCGCGTAGGGTGAACATGCAGTTACGCGACGTGAGTTGCGTGCACGTCATGCGCGGACCGGCGGTGGAGGTGAGAAGAATTCCCACGGCCTCCACTCGCATTCGTATCTCACCAGTTACGCAGGAATGCGCAACAAACACGCAACATGCAGAGGATCAAAATCCCTCTGAGGTATCAGAAGAGGAATGCCATGTAATGAAACCCCTCCTGAAGTGAACAGGGATCGGTCGTGCAACCTCCACCTCACTCACACACAAACTGTCATGCGGCTTTGAGGACGTGTGTGTTTATTGCCTCCCTTTGTGCGTTTGTAGGGGTGTGTGTGTGTGTGTGTGTGTGTGTTTTTACGTAGGATAGCACGCTAAGCCACCTGGAGCAAGGCGGGTATTATCAGTGATGGTGCCAGGAAACACTTAAAACGCAGCCACTCTGTCTAGTACAGACACACCTGTCTGCCACAGATCAGACCTGTGTGTGTGTGTGTGTGTGTGTGTGTGTGTGTGTGTGTGTGTGTGTGTGTGTGTGTGTGTGTGTGATTGCACTTTCAATTGACAAAGCCCCGGGTCACCCGACATTGTGTACTCGTCTCATCTTTAGATCCTCGGGGAGGGGCCAGATAAGCCACCGGCAACGTTACAGCAGATTCAGCCAACATTTATTACCGATGGAGGAATTTATCGCCCCGGCCCGCCTCCTGAAGCTAATCTCTCTTTTACTCCGTTTCCAACACGCCGTCCTCGCCTAAAGAGTGGTGAAATGTTCACCGCCACGAGGCACGACGGGGGAAGAAAAAACGAGAAAAAAAAGGAACCACGTGAACTTTCCTCGACTTTAACGACAGCGTGCAAACTCCACGTACACGCCCGCGCCTCAACAACGGCGCATTGTCCGTCTCTCTGCGCAGGAACAGCGGGAACTTTTTTTTTTTATTTGTTTAGCTCTTAATAATTGCCCCGTCTGTTCAGTTGCCATCAACTTGACACATGGAGCGTAACCCGAAACGTGATGTTCTGGGGCGTCGGCCTGCAGGTTGAAACTGACGCAGACGGAGACACCTCTGAACATCTAACACGTGTTAGCTGAGACGCTGGCGGGGGCGGGGTAAGGTCGAACATGACTTTCAAGTCTGATGTGTTGAAATCGTTGTTATTCTTTTTTTTTTTTTATTCTCACCTTCGGACCAGCAGCAGAGCGCCGTCGTGTTGCAGTGATTTTTAAATCTATTTGCAACATCAGACGGTGATGAACAACGCAAAAGGGTTTAAAAAGAATCATTGCCTTGAAATTATAAATGAAATACATAGAAATTACAGTCAGAGGGAGCTCTTGGAAGCTATAAATAATGAAGTGTTAGAAGTCGTGTCACGGTGAACTCGGCAAAGTGACACCACATCAGTGGGATTTGTACACTGTGGAGGGATGAGCAGCGATTTTACGCTCAGTCGAGACGCTTTATGATAAACGTTGTGCCGGTTTGGTTTGAGCGTGTTCAGAGAGTCGCTGGTGAAATCGGTTTTCCCTTTTCAAGGCCTATCGAGCATAAACACACACACACACACACACAGTAAAGACAGTTTGAATGAAATATTGAGTGCAGGATGCATATCAGCATTAACACAGTTTAAGTACTCATAAATATTCATATTGACTCGGGACAACGATCAGAACACCCAAAAACATTTTATAATCACTTGTCACATCAAGTACTATGAAATGAACGGCTACTCTCTGCTGTGTAAAAAGAGTAAACGTACCAAACAGCTCCACGTTGTTCAGTTGTTGTCTTTTTTACACAGCGCTGTGTAGTCAAGTATGTGCGTGAGTGTTAACAGCCAGTCGGCTTATAAACACTCAATGTTTATCGGGGTGACGTCCCGCCGAAACACAAACAAAAGGCCAGCGCGATGACGTGACCTTATCGCTATAAAACATTTTCCAATGCATAAAACTCATGCAGACGGATGGAAATCAAATATACATGGAAAATATAGCAAAAGGGTTTGAATTAAATAAGGTAGACGACTGCATTGAAGTGCAGGTCCACGTTAAGCTGCATCCTCCATGACGTTGACTGGGAACGATGATTTGACTGTATTTGTACTGAGCTGATTGCTCATATATTACATTGGGAGCACATTAACAGCAATCAAAACCAAATCTATTTTTTATCAAAACTATTCCACTAATTGCTTAAATGAAAGCCAATTCCAATTAGCTTGTAATAAACTTTTTTTATATGACACCTGTCATAACAGCACCTTGAATGCATTACCTCGCACATTTAATGACATAACACTGATAAAAATCCTAAAGAGACGCCAAACAAGACAATACTGGGAAAGCCAATTGCAAGATGTAAGAAAACACGAGTATGATGAATTTAAAACATATAAGATAGTGAATTCCACTTCAAACTACTGCGCAGTTTAATCTAAAAACGTCTTTCCCATTTTAATGTAATGCCTCAGGCCTCTTCAAGCACTGTCATTATCTGCCTAAGTGGGTTTAACTGCCATTATTTCTAGTGCCAAAAAGGCTATTCAAGTTATTTTAATTACTCATTTCAGCTGCAAGATTACTTAACAATAATTAGCATAAAACTCAAATTACGAGGTCGTTAGACGAGAGGGCCGATACGCGGAGGGCTGCAGGGCAAACGCCGCGTTCCTTTGGACATCAACGTTCACTCCTATTTCTCCACAGATTTAATCATCTTCCAGTTTCTTCTCTGTTTTCTGACAATCAGGAATATGTTTTTCCTGGATCTCTTCAGTTGTTGTGTTTTATGTCCTGAGACGCCGGGTGGTGAACAACCACGTTTAGTTAGAAATAATTAAATTATAGGAAATTATATATATATATATATATATATTAGATAGATTTACAAGAATCATAGTGTATTACCGTAGCTGTATTGTGTTATGATATTATTTTTCTTCTATAAATAGAAGAAAACATTCTTTCGTTTTCAGGAAAGCGAAAAACAAAATGTTGCTGAATTATTTTCACTTGAAGCAAACAATGATTACTTTACACATTATAATGCATCATAAAGGTCTATAGTATATCACAAAATACCAACCAAATACCAAAGTGGCCGATATTATGTACTATAATCATATATTACCTAATATATGTGTGACTATTCGAGTGGACGACTTGATTTGGTCAACTTCCTGCTCGTCTGCTTCCCGCACACGAACACATCGCTCTTCAAACTCATTTTGTTCTCAAACAAACGCCGTCAAAGCTGCACACCTGCGAATTGCACTGGTTGTGCCGCTGTTGCAATGACAAAGTCCCCCCACAGACTGAGGTATAAACACACGGCTGAGCACTCTGGAACACCTCTGTGGTGCTTCCTGCTCCAGTAGTTGTTTCCAAGGCCACATTCTGCCTTGATGACTCACAAGACGAAAAAAAAACCCCAAAACAATAAGTGTGCCAGAGGGGCTGATGACTTGTATGTTTTGAAAAAACAGCGAAAGGTTCGGTAGAGATAACAGCTAACATTCCATTAGCGGGATGCAAGTCCAATGGCTCAAATTTATTTATTTTCAGTGATCACAACATTTTTTTTCAGGAGATATTATTTATTTAGTCTAATATTTCGGGGGTTAGGCTTCACGACGCAACACATTACTACGAAGTTGTTTTAGCTACTTCGATCTTTGTGTGATACGTCAGCGCTCAATGTTATGACGTGCAGTAAAAAGAAAAGACTTCAAACTGTGTTTGCATATTCCATAAATATCTCTCTTTCTGTGTGTGGTCGGTTGTCTGTCTCGTTTCCTCCTCTTCCTTCTTGCTTCTTGCATCTCCATCGTCTCATCCTTCACTTCGCCCCCCCCCCCCCATTGGAGACAAAGGGAAGCCCACCCCATCGATCACGCCGGCCTCATGTGACCCCCCTCGCCAAAGGACGAAAAGCCAGGTCTGCTCCGCGCTGTGCTTTGTTTGTTCCCTTCCTGTGTTTCTCACAGCGGCATTGTGGTACTCTCAACAAGAGCCTCGTTCGGCCCGACGTGTTGAGACACACATCCTGCTCTTAATGGGAGCTTTGGTGGCAAAACAAATTCAAATTAGAGCGTTCTGCCCTCTGCGCCGCTGAAATCACATTTTTACAAAGTGCAGGTTCTAGCTCAACACCTGGCTCCAATGGAAAAACTATTTAAAATCTCTCATTTCTGCCCTTCGGGGCGGAATGTGTGCGGAGCGCTGCAGCCACGATGAGCGCGCTCGTGTCTCACAACACCGGCGTCAGTAGCTGTGTGGGAACAGCTTTCACCACGCGACTCCATTTCTTTTTCCGAGGGGGGAGGCCGAGCTCAAGAGGAAGAGCTTAATGGGGCAGTTAAACAGCGGGACAATGCTGATGAGAGCTGCAGAAAAGAGAAAGAGAGAGGGGGGGGGGGTGGGAGGGGAAGGGAAGAAGGGGAGGTTGAAACCGCACAGAGATGCAGAAGAAACGGCGCGAAGCCTCAAGTCTTAATGTCCCGCTTAAGAAAAAAAAAACAAGTGCTTTGGTTTTTGTTTTAAACGCCGAGCAGGAATGCAAACCTGAAGTGCATTTACAAAAACATATTTAAATTGAGTAAATGAAATCGGTTTTACTTTAGCAAGAGCGAAATGTACCCTTAAGAGTAACTTGCAGCTGTCTCTTATTATTACAAAGCCTGCATGGTTTCGTGTCACGGATTTGTTTCAAACGCTGGTACGTGTCGCTCTGAGCGGTTCGGGTTCAGCTGCTTCGCATGAGACGAGGAAAATGTTCACCAGAGAAGCAAATGTCCGTTGGAAGGAGAAGAGTCCCAGCGGAGGGAGGTTGTGACTCATTCACCTTGAAGAAGAACATTGCTGGTGGCTGAGTCACCGGGGTCACACCCCTACGCACACACACACACACACACACACACACACACACTAACGCACACTAGCGCACACAAGTCACTCGACCGGTTCCCAGATATCTCCTTTTCTGTTGCACGCACACACACACACACACACACACACAAACACACACAAATTCAAATTCAAGCTATGTTTCTGCAAGGCGCGCATGAAAGGTGCAATGTGCCAATTAATTAGCCGTTGGTAAGCATGCAAACACCCACAAACATCCCCCCCCCCTTTCAAAAAACGATGACTCACCACGTTACATGGGATGCACGATTCAACTGTGTACTTTAATTAAATATTTTCTGTGACATATATCTACTCGTTTACTGCTTTTTGATCATTTTTTCATCATTGAGTTGTACGTATGTGATTGGATACGTCCATGAATGCAAATTGGGAAGATATATATATATGTATATATATATGTATATATACATATATACATATATATATATCTTCCCAATTTGCATTCATGGACGTATCCAATCACATACGTACAACTCAATATATATATATATATGTATAGATAGTGAAGTGGAACTCAGAAGCGAGTGGAAGCAGAGTTGGATGAACAGGTAGACGGGATGGAAACAATGGAAGGTGAGGTGGAATCCGTGACATGGAGACCATTTCTCCACATTTGGACTCAATATTACAATGAAGAGTCTTGTTTTTCTTTCTTTCTGTGAATACATTTTTGTTTTGAGTATTAATGCTGGGCTAATCTATCTTCATGCCGGCTGGAATCGCCTAAGGAACAAATAAGAAACAAAATGTGCTCCGAGTTGTGGATTAAGGTGTGCTGTGAATATTTACCTTCTGGCACGTTTTCGAGATTTCGCTCTCTGCAATTTGTCCTTTCCCTGAGATGTTACAAAGAAAGAAAAGCTGCACCTTCAGCTCAAGTTGACTTTGCGTACTTTGTTTTGTGGAAGCATACTGAGTTATGTCTTTCGCTCCTGCTTTGCTACAATATCTGTGTAAGAATTTGGGACACTGCACGCATATTGTTCATTATCTGATATGAAGTGGATTTTTATTACAGTTTGGCAGCTTATAGGTTTTTTTCTTATTCTGTTATTCGAAGGGCAAGAATATTATTTTCTCGGGTTGTTTCAATGACCAATAGAACACATTTTTCAACTGTTTATATATGCTGTTAAGTTGTTGTGATTCTTATCTCTCAGTAAAAACCAAAAAAAGTATAGATCAAGAATGTTAAAAGTAATGTGTAGGAGCTCTACCATTTAGATTTCTCAAAATAGATTTTTACAAATGTAGAAAATGTGACCAAAGAGAACGGTTTGTCTTGTTCTTAGCTTGCAGAGCACAATATGTCCTATTTAATGAATGGGCTTAGCCAGTATCGGCTGGCCAATAGAGTGCAAAGGGGCGATGCCCAACCAGGACCGACCCTCCTTGAGCCCCCAAAATAAAAAAAGATAATATTAAATGAGAAAAAAACGTCAATATTTGTGTTTTTGTGATACGGAATGTACCAGTAAAATTGTTAAATATTTTATTTTTATGTATTACAATTTATGCTTTTCTTGCATGTCCTGTCTTCATGTGTGTTTGAGCTACGCTATTGGCATGCTCAAGAATGCCCACAGAAGGCGGGTCTAAGAAGCACTTTAGCCATTTGCTGATTAAATGAAAGAACGTGTGACGTACAATTTAGCCAATCAGTATCCTTAAATAGAGACAGCCTGGGGCAACATTGTTTTTGCCCCTAACTTGCACGTTCTCTTGTCCCGACTGGGACATTCCTGAAGGTCATTGAGAAGTTTGCCACTCAGAATGACAGAAGAGCAAAATTAAATAATCACAAATAAACATGTTCTATTTATATATTTTTTTTATTTTAATTACCATTTTAGTCCAAAGGGACTGCCGGCATCAACACAACATGAATGTTCGGTTGCAACTTTAGTTCAGATTTGTAGTGCAGGACTTTTACTTTATTTTAATGCCCAGCGCAAATGTGTTGATGATTCCAGAAAGAACCACGCAACCGGAAACTCCTTCCACGCTGCTCACAGGTGATGGGCTTCTCACCAGTATGAACCATGTGATGTCACTTCAAGTCACTACTTTGATTGAATCAGCTGATGTCTCTTCCAACTGGTTCTGTGATTGAAACTCCTCCCACACTGCTCACAGGTGAAAGGCTTCTCACCAGTATGAATCAGCTTATGCATCTTCCAACTGCTTCTGCGATTGAAACTCCTCCCACACTGCTCACAGGTGAAAGGCCTCTCACCAGTATGAATCAGCTTATGCATCTTCCAACTGCTTCTGCGATTGAAACTCCTCCCACACTGCTCACAGGTGAAGGGCTTCTCACCAGTATGAATCAGCTGATGAGTCTTCAAACTGTCTGTGCGATTGAAACTCCTCCCACACTGCTCACAGGTGAAGGGCTTCTGTCCAGCGTGAATCAGCTGATGTCTCTTCCAATTGGTTCTGTGATTGAAACTCCTCCCACACTGCTCACAGGTGAAGAGCTTCTGTCCAGTACGGGGCTCACAGGTGGACGGGCCTCCTCCGTCGTGCTCTGAGGAGGTCGAGGCGCAGCAGGGTGGTCCCTCCTGCTCCCCGGTGACACTCTCCTCACCCTCCCCACGAGGTCCTGCTGGATTCGTGGATGTCTGTTGGGAAGTAAACATATTTTCAGACAAAGAAAGATGGAGAGGAGACAGGATATTCATTGGTAGATTCCAGTAATTGTACTCCACAACAATTATTTTTTTACGGTATTAAGGGACACATGCTCATGTGCAGGTTCATACTCATTATTTGGGGTTTCTTCTCAAAAAAGTGTACCTGCATACTTGTGCCAACCCTTTGTCGGAAATGCTCCGTTTTGGCCCTTTCAGCAAAAGTCGGTTGCTAAGCAACAGCTTCGTTTAAGTTTTTACTTCCTGTCAGCTGACAGTATTTTGTGAATATGGTATTTCATTGGCAAGATATGTTTTAAATACCCTTTGTAAAAGCCTTTGAATCTCATGTGTCAACACAATACAACATGAATTTTAAACCTTGATTTATCCAGTTATACTAGCCTCTCGCACCTTATTGCTTAATCATAATAGGGGTGGATGAAATCCAGCATTCCTATTGGTTGAGAGTACTTGTTTACATTGACCTGAGCATTCCATATCACTGCGCACTCAAAATAACAGTTAGATTTTGTCTTTTTAAGCTTGACTGTTAGAAAATATGTTGCATAGCAACAGCCACACGTACAGGGACTATTCTCTCGTATTGTGGCTACATTTAGCGCGGAAAGGCAGCTATACACTGTTTATAATGTCATTACAATGGCTGCGCGTCGGGCCTAACAACACCCTTGACCTGTGACATTATTTGACGTACAGCCTCTCGTACCTTATTGCTTAATTCAGATTCATGTGCTGAATAATGTGGATTAGCACATACTTGATAAGAGAAGGCCTCAATTGCATATTTCAACACACGTGTTCATAAAAGATGTCTTAATGTGACCCAAGTCATCAAACCGGGGAAGAGTCCTGCTGATTTACAGGAGTCAAAGTTTACCTCTGATGAGCTCAATGTGATGGTCGTCTTCTCTTCTAGTCCCTCCATCTCAGAGCCCCTGCTGGGTCCATGACATGAAGGCAATGAGACGGAGAACGCATGAATAAACAAGTGGACGTGAGCATGAGGATCCAAGTCAGACACACACAACTCTGAAAGAGAACTCACAGGCCTGCATGTTTGTGTTGTGCATCTTTCAAATAACTGCACTCTAACGATGAATTAACTTACATATCTCTACAAAATACTTGTGGGATTAATTTCAATGAAATACATTCAACAGCCTTTGACCGGAGTTGTTGATATTGATTTTATCGTAGAAAAGAAAAGAAGGTTTACCTTTAACAATGTATCATGTGCGTACAAATCAAAAGATATGTGTCTGTTATTAATTAAGAAATACGTTTGATAAATCCACCGCCCAGCTAGAGAAACAGTACAGAGAGAACAACCATGATCAGGAGAAACTTGTTCCTTACCGTTTTTCTGTGTCGCTGAAGTTTAACCTGCCAGGTTGTCTTCTCCTTACTGAGACTCAGAGATGCATTGACGGTTTCCACGGTAACCACTGCCAAAGGTGGTTCAAAATGAAAACAAATCCATTTTCGAAAATAAACACCAGATGTATAAGTCCACAACTGACTGTAAATGACTCACAAATACTGTATATTACACCTGTCAATCAAAACTAAACAAACGTTGACACTAAAAGTTATTTTATATTGCAGAACAAACAGTGTACAAATGTTTAAGCAGCAAATACTCTGAATGTGGTACTGCAGCATATTAGTATTAAGTATTTGATCACATCTGAGCCGCTGACTCCCCCTTTGACTCTGTTTCATATCTTCATTTTAACATTTGCATTATCCATTGGTCCCTATGCATCTGACGTTTATGTTGTTGTCCATTCGTGGCTGTAAAACTCTCTGTCATGGCAGCATGACATGATTATGGTTACTGAGAGTTTGTCCACCATCACCATCATGTTCATCAACCCAAGCTGGGGTTGTACGAGTGTCAAGTTTATTTCCAGGCCTTTTGTCCTTACTTTCAGCAAACAAGCAAGCAATTAATCTCATTTCCCAAAAAGTCAAATTGATGTGGAAAAATGAAAAACTATATTTAGCCTCACCTCAGTTTCACATCAGTTTGACTTTTTGGGAAATGAGCTTAATTGCTTGCTTGTTTGCTGAAAGTAAGGACAAAAAAAACACAATAAAATGTGAAATACTGTTATTTAATAAAATATTTGATTAGACAAATAGTTGTGTGTGCTACAATAATCAAGGTTCCTTTTAGAGAAATACTTTGAGTTCATTTTTCTCGGGTAAACAGTTATGCATTGTGTTTGAGTGTCAAGGGCTTTTATTGTGAAATCTAAGGAGTGGCTTTGGTCTGGGCTGCCTTTGTCTGGGTTGAAAGGAGTAATTAATTCAGGCGTCTTGGTAAAGACTTTGAACCTTATGAAAGCTCCGAAGGATTGACTCAGTTCCGGGGAAAAAGGCACGGTTAGATATGGCAAAATTAATAACACACACTTATTCACTGCAGAACATTTGCTTTCGGTGGTTCAGCAAATTTGCATGCTTCCAGGGCTAATAGAGAGGAGAAGAGTGGTATATATCTTCTCATCTCACTCTTTGAAAGGGAAATAAATGAGAAATTAAGTTTTAATCTGTCTTTTTGAACTTAAAGTTTCAGCCTTTACTGGGTCAATGTTTTTTTTGAGGAAGGTAAACTGTAAAAGTTAGTTGTGAGAAACGAATGAGAGTGGGTAACATACAGGTTGTACTACTGGCCTCCTTCTGAAGAAAAGCAACACCAAAACAATGGTAGCCTGTGTAACGGAGCCATTCCAGCTGTAACAATATACGTCCCTGTCAGTACCAATGTTCCCACTTCAAGCATGTGCAGACGACAGGGCTGCGATCTGCGACTCAGGTCTGCTGCATCTCTCCCCTGTTGCCTCATAACGAGGGCCGACGGCAGCGCGGATTAACTGCGATCTGGTTTATGTTAAACACCGCCGGCTTCGCGGGTTTCAGATAAAGATTGAGCATTTTTAACGTTGTCAAGTCTGTTCACGAAGAAACGCACCCAATTAGGCCCAAATTGAATGGACGGCCACGGTAACACGTGCCACTGTGAGTAAGTGCCAGCCCGCCTGGGCTGATGTGAGTTAAAAGAAGCAGCAGACGTCAAGACCAAAATCGCTGAGGATTTTGCTGATGCCCGAGGACAATGGTGTTGGAAAATAACAATGCTGAAGAAAAGCCGCCTGGAAAAAACCCATGAACATCACAGTGCACCGGATCAACTCGACCTCCAAACACCTACGTGAGGTGAGCCGTGCTGTTCTTACATCGAAATGAATCTATGACCGCCGCCACATTGTTGTATCTCTCAGCCAACCGGCCGTGTCACAGTTTACGCCCTTGTCTGTGTAAAATGTCATCAGTCCGTCCTTTTATTCTGTGAGAGGCTTTGTCTCCCGAGCCTCGAGGCGTAGCCCAACCTCACAATGACATTGAATCTTCAAAATGGCGTCACTTCATTCTTGTGTCAAGTCTTTGAGGCCCCAGCTGTAGCTGACAGAGAGGCAGTAATGCAAAGTGGGTTATTACAGATATTACAGCCAAAAAGCACAAAAAGCCTGTATCGAACCGGCTATGGTTTAGCATAATGCATGAATTAAGGATTGTGCGCTTATTTTTTTAAATAGAAACTCTTCGCTGAGCAGAAATATATATATATATATATATACACAATATACAATATTCAATTTGCGCCTCACGTTGTAACCTCTACTTTAAGGGTGGCTGCACATGGCTGATGGATTTAGCCCCAGATGAGCCTTCCCTCTCACATAAAAACAGTAATGTGCATCCTGGTTATTCACTCTCTCCCTCACCACCAACTAAAATAACGGCTGAACGGCGACTCGGACACATAATTAAGTCGGCAAATGCTGTGGCGGTCAGCGTCCAGGCTTCCCTTAACCCTCGGGTTTAACTCCATTCCCCGTTTCGAGACGTATTCATCCATCCGCAGCCATTTGATCACCAGTCCAAACCACAGCCATGACTCACGGGTAAATGAGCCGAAAGAGGAGGAGCAGCAGGGTTAAAGGACAGAAAGCGGACGGATTAAGTCTCAGGGAAAGGTTTGTGGCTGGTAATCAGAGAGGAATAGCTTGAATCAGGCTCCTCGCGGGCGCTGGAAGTCTATCAGGCGGTGCAGTTGCCTGGAATAATAAACAGGGACGGAGTATGATGAGCATTTATGGTGGTTCCTACTAGACAGCCTGTTATAGCAGATCCTTCTCCAAAGAAAAGGGGAAGAAAGAAAATCATTTCATTCTGGAAAGAAGTCGGCAACGTCTCCAATTTGTGGAGGATAGCGACGCTGTAGGATGAACATTATAAAACGCTTTCAATCATGTTTATCACAAGGACAGTTTTGTTTATTTACCCCCCTCACAGGCCCAATATTAAGCAGAAGAACCCTTTTAAAAGACTCAACAAAGAATTCGAAATTTTGTCCGTGTAGGCTGATATAATTTAGTCCTCGAGAGGCTCGAAAGCTATTAAGAACACATCATTGAGTCGTACTGTTGCACCGCATGACACCTTCCCCCATTGTGACGACCATGGAGACTAGATACACTTTCCGGCTGTTATAAATCACTTCTGTTTGAGTAACTTGTGCTAAATACTACAGAAAAGATCCTCCAGGGAATGACTGAGTGCTTATTTATATTCATGACTGATTTTTTAAGTTTTACATTTTTTAGTAGGAACATGGACTTGGGGCTCAGTACCACAGAAGAGGATGAGCGGATTGTTGGGTGGGTTGTTTCCTGTGATATGTTGGTTAAAAGTGCCCACGACTAAATGTGTATTTAATTCAATCCTTGTTTTAGTAACATTTAGCCAAATTTACTTTAATCATCTGCTTCTTTTATAGAACTTTGAATCAAGCCAGCAAGTATTTAGGACCTGACGGTGGCATCGCTGATTTCGGTGTAATTATATTTTTTTGTTGATTAAATCATTTTAATAAGGGCAGTCCTATCATTTAATAAAATAAGCACAAAATACACTTTTTTCATCATAAAGCTATAAAATAGACTGTGAGTATTCTCACGGTTTCACCCTTTTTTATTTCATTCGAGGAAAACCAGTCAACAAGGACGAGAAAGACATTTCAGCACCACAGTCATCACTTAAAGGGAAAAACGAGCACGTGGTATTTGAGGTGTTTTTGAATACTGATGTTCAAGCAGCAGCAGCAGCAGATGGTTGCAGTTGAAAAACCGTCTCTCTGCCAGTCCGCTTCACCAGAGGCACAAGCATTCACAGCACAGGGCTGGCAAGTGACCAAATGCAGAGGAAAAAGGGTAGAAAAACACTTTTTTTCTGGTAAAATGGGGGTGTGGGGCTGGGGGGGGGGCAAAGGAAAGTTGACTCAAACTAAAGCAAAGAAAAGAAAATGTTTTATTGAGTCATCTATTACAGGACTCACCACTTGGTGTGGCTTTGCGGGAACCGCACCGGTAAGCTGCAGCAGAGACAGTTTCAGGGGTTCCAGATGGCAGCGCTGAATCAGAACGTATGTTTCAACCCTGTTTTTTCCTCTAAAAGTTGTTTGGGCAAGTGGAAAAGATGCTGCACATATCTCGATTACATATATTTAAATGACGGAACAATAGTTGTATTCAATCTGTGTGATATAAAAGTTAAACATAGTTTAACTGAGTGAAACAACTCAATGTTTCGCTGACATGATACATTGTGTAAATAGAAAAAGATACAATGAGTCATCCGTTCAAATATTTCCGTTGTTATGTCTCCGAGCTGTAAGCGTTTAAACTTACACATTTCAGTGACCTCAGTTTCCCCCCCGAGCTCTCCCTGAAATAAAGGGAGCATGTAGCGGGGTCGACTGGGGTAGCTACGAGTCCCTCGCTCCCCAACGGAGGAAGCACCATTCACGCACCTCGCCGCGCGCGTGTGTGTGTGTGTGTGTGTGTGTGTGTGTGTGTGTGTGTGTGTGTGTGTGTGTGTGTGTGTGTGTGTGTGTGTGTGTGTGTGTGTGTGTAAGCCTCAACATCTGGCCGCCATCAGCGACCTGAGCCGAGGTCTCGCTGACAGTCGGGACCAGCTGGCCGACTGGACACCGACGCAGACGCACCGAAGCAGGCGAGCGGCAGGCGGAGGCCGCTGCTCTGACCCTCAGCGTGGGAAAGTACTCAGTGTGTGACCTCGACCTCGGGGAATAGATTTCTCTTAATCTTTGCATTTAGTTGTAGAAAGCATGAGTGTTATTTCTGCCATAAACTAGACCCTTCTGCCTCATTCTTCAGGTAGATATATTAATACATATTCAATATTCATTTAGTGTATTTTGGATTTGGATTCATTACCAGATTATAAGTAAAGTCAATGCTAGAGAAATTACATTTAATTTAGAGAATTAGGAAATTGCATACAGGTAATGTTATTGATCAGAGCGATACTGGTGGTGGGGGGGTTTGCTTGGCTGTATGGGGGGAACCACATGTGTTACATAACAC